ACTTTCTACACAGCATAAGGACATCAATATGTATTAGAAAATGTAATAAAAATTTGGGGTGATTTTAGAGCTGATTTTTGGAAAAACTATGCCTTGGGTAATTTTCAAAAATTGGCCACTTAAAAACTAGCCATACATGTAACTTGAAAAATTTAATGGTCTTAACTGTCTCAGCTCCTGAATCCAGCTCTGCATCTCAATGAAACTCTTCTACAAATAATAATAATAATAATCGTTATAATAATGTATAGTGTAAAAGCTCAAAGCTATTTCAATGATGAAAATTTGAAAACTTAAACTTTTGAAAATGAGTCAGAGATATATGTACATGTACATGTATTGTACATGTATGTATTAAAAGTATACTATTATATTAATTACCAGGTTGGTGATGTCATAGACTACAACTGCGTCAGCTGAACCTCTGTAATACATTGGAGCCAATCCACGATACTATACAGGAAGAGAAATGTAGTATGGAAACGCATGAAACGTTAGTCTTAAGTGACAAATGGGCAGTTTAACAATAAAAACTTTAAAACTTTTCTGGTTAGATCTAAATCAGCCCCTCCCATGCAGTTTATTGGAATTTGCTGTGCATGCCACGTCTTCTCGTCTTACCTTTACCTCTCCTTGTATACAATACTTAAACTAGTTTCAAATGGCTTCAAAACCATCACATTTCCCATTAGGTGAGTCAGATTATTTATAATACACTGATATACATAATTTGTGTACAGATATTAGCAAGTTAAAGTTTGTTTTACAAGTCTTGAGGCATTACAAGTTTCCTGAAGCAAGATGGTTTGAGTTTGGATTGAATCTTGGCCTGCCTTATCACACACTGAAAGCTATTGAGTCAGCTAATAAAGGAGATCCTTCAAATTGCCTGATGGAGTGTTTAGCCAAGTGGTTGACTGAAGGCTCTGATCATACTCTTGTATGGCAGACACTGGCTAATGCACTCCGTGGAATGAATGCATTAGCTGTTTCTAATAATATTCGCAAAACAAGTAATAATGTTATTATTGTATTTTACCATTTATATCTTTATAACAGTGGCAGATCCTGTTAGTGAGATATTGCAGTGTTATATTGGTAGACTAGCTCAAGTTGTTCTTACTGAGGAATCAGTTGATCTCTTACATACAGAGGGATTGATATCTAAGGATACATTAACAGAAGTGAAGAGTTGCGGTTGTTCATTGGTAGGAGATCCAATGTTACTAATATTAAGTGCTGTAGCTGAAGATCATAGCAAGTTATGTACTCTGACAAGCATTCTAATGAAATCAAAGGAAGCAGTGTCTTTAGCTAGTGATATAATAATGGAATATGGTAAATGAAGAGTTTTATAAATACACTTAACTTATTTATATTCTAATACAATAGGGAAGTCATATCCTTCAGCAGTAACAGTTATGCCATCTTGTCAACAAGCAAGTACTTCAACATCTTCAAGTAATGATCTAATATAACATATATACATTGACTATTATAATAAATACAGGATCTGGACAATTACAAGATAGTAGTAGTGAGACTCAAGTAACTACCAATACTGATGCTACTCCACAAGGTTAGTAACATCAATTATACCCAATTCAATGTCATTACACTATATTATAGGTGTATTAGAGGTTAGAGTTAATCCTGGCTTTCAAAAGAAGTTTGACAAAATATGCGATTTGCGTGGTACACTTCTTGATGATATTGCTCCTCTCATTAAAAAATCAATTCCATCTCTGAATCACCTTAAAACCTACCTTCGAAGATGTCGTCCAGAATTAAAGCCTCGATTGAAAAAAGCCAATCGCTTTAAGGTTGTAATGGAAGTGATTGAGGATGAGTGTTCTATCACTAACGTTGCTCTATTGGAGACTATAGTGAACAAATACTCAATACAAGATGCTGGAGACATGATATTAGCTTATCAGACACACTTGGATGAATTCTGTGAGAACAAATTAACAATGTTTTGTGATCGTGAGCTTAAGAAATTATCCTCTTCTCTCCTCACTTGTGAGACGATCAAGTTTGTTCTGGATTGGAAACCAAGTGAACGATCTCTCTCCGATATCAGAGCCCTACTGCGCGTAGCATTTCAAGATAATCAAGTGGAGGTGGTAGTGATCAAGGAAGGGAACTCCATCATTGTTACTTGTTATGCTCCTCATTATCTGATGGAGAGTTTACTAGTGACAGCTAGAGATAACGTTGATATGCTAAAGGAGATGGGATTGATTAGTTTAACTATTGGTTACTATACTGTGTATGATGAACATGCAATTGATGAGGTTAGTGAATGTATGTGTATATAAATTAATAGTATACTTTAATATTTGATAGGAGGTGAAGAGTCTAATGAAGAAACTCGAGATGGTAGAGAGTGAAAGAGATGATTTACTTGAGGAGAATGCTAAATTGAAGGGTACAATAGACACATTAGGTATTGTACTAATTATTGTTAATTATAATTATTGATAATTTAAAGGTATCTCATATCAAGTATAATGACATTCATGTTTTGAGACATGATATCTATGAATATTGTCATGTCCATGAATTTTGAATAAATACATCATGTAGCTGAATTGTTGTTCCTAATAATTTAATTGATTCATTTTTATTATTTAGAGTCTGAGAAGGAAGAGAGTAAAAAGAAGATGACAAAAGCAATGCAAATGGAAATAGATCATTTACGATCATCTCTTCAAAGCAAAACAGGTATATATACAGACATACTTAATACTGTATAATGAGAATAGAGTACAACTGTGTTTAGAGTATCATTATTGGTTGTACAAGTTATAGTTAATTATACAAAATGTTAAGAGTTACTGGATGTATGCACTCCAATGTTAGTTGATTAGAAGCTGAGGCTTCTAATCAACTAATCAACTAACATTCGAGTATATATATCCAGTAACATGAAACAGCTATAGTTTATCTTGTTTGTACTATAGTAGTCTTACTTAGCCAAACTGTGGAGAGTGTGGCCACAGAGAGTGTGGTCTGGCTACATGAGATTGAGCATGGATCAAGACTAGTACTATAGTGTGTGGGTGCACTGTATAGTCTAAAAACTACCAGTACTGGCAGTTAGATGACACTTCTAACTACCCCACTTGTGGTGGTTCTGTTTTTACCAATACTGGTCCTTCATACATGCAATTTAATAATACACAAATTGTTACAAGAGTTAATATTGTTTTAAAAATAGTGACCAATTTTTGACTACTATTATAAATGACTAGGAATAGAAGAAATGTTAATTGGAGTAGAGAAAACATTAATTGAAAGAGAAAAGGAGATAGAACAGTTACAGGAAAAGATATCATTAATGAATATACAGCAACTGAAAGAAACTTTAATTACTCTTAGTATGTATTAGATTATATTAACATAATGACTAGTACTGGTATTTTAGGAAAGGATCAGTCTACACAATATATGGATCCACCAAAAGGACCAGTTTATGTAGCTATTAGAGACTGGGAGGCAAGGAATAGTACTCAACTTTCAATCAAGAAAGGAGAGAAACTTCAGATCAAGGAAGAGCGTACTAGTGAATGGTGGTTAGCAAGATCATTAGATACTGATCAAGAGGGAATTGTTAATATTATTGATATTAAAAAAGATGAAGAGAGTGAACTGTCAACATTGGAATCACTTGAACTATTTCATTATGCAATGACAGAAAATGTTGACATACCTAAAATCAAGGAAATAAAGATGAGGAGCAACGTTGAGAGAGCAAGTCTTTTTTTATCAATAATTAAACAAGATTCAGTTCTGCTAGATCAACTTAGAAAAAAAGAACATGGTAAGATATATTTATATGTACTAATAATCTATAGAGTATTTTGAGGGTATTAGATATCGTCCATGATCTGCAATTTCTTTTTTCCTATATTTTGTCTAGCTTGTGTGTTAATTTTTTGAAATGTAAAATATTTGAAGTATAAAATCCACAAAAACTAGAAAGAAGTGTTGCTTGCCTTATTAGCCATTAGAAATTTTATAGTAGAGAATTATACTTGATAATACAGTAATTAATTATAATTGTTTATGTATTCAGGAAAACCTAAAGCAATTAGGTGGTATGATGATGGTGTTCAACTGACCTCTCCATCTTTAATACAATGTCAAGAAGTAGTTTCTCTATTAACAAGCAAGCATCATAGCATAAGAATAATGAAATCATCTCCTGACATTGTGTGTGATCTGTTGCCAGTTTTATTAGAAAATGAAAATGTGAAATCCTTGACAATACGTGACACTCAACTAACACAGGACTGCATCTCATCTTTATGTAACTTACTGGCTAATGACAAATCACTAGAAGGTTTATATCTTTGTAACTGCTCCATTGCTGACAAAGCAGTTACTGATGTTATAACTGTATTGCTGCAAAACAATACACTTAAAGGATTAAGCTTCCAGAGAAATTCTCTTGTTACCTCTGCTATTTCACTGAATCTTTCTGAACTAATCAAAAATTCAACATTAGAAGTATTAGATCTAGCAGGTACTTCAATATCATCTGATGGAATAGTACTAATTCTTCAATCGTTATTAGTTAATAAGAAAATGAAGCTCTATCTACATACCGACGACAAAGACATGTGCACAGAATATCGTGACTATAATATCATAAAAGATAGAGTGTTTTTCTATTAAAATGCTGACATTAATTATAGTGAGATTGTTTTCTTTTCCATGTAAACTTTTTCTCTTTAATTCTATTTTGTCATCGTAATGCGGCAATAATGTGTACAATGATATATGCAGCAGCTCTTTCTGATGATTTATATCAGGGCTATGTATCCCTAGTTAATATCACTGGTTAAATCTACTACCATGTATAGCCAGAAAGTTTTGTCACAAAAAAACTTTTGTGGTTTGGTGGTTGCCATGGGGTCTATTTGTGGTTTATATTTTTATGGATCATCAGTGAAGCTTCCATGCCTCTCATTAACCAGCAAATAATTCATGGTTTTTAATTTTGTGGTGTCATTCCAAACTACAAAAACCACGAAAGTTTTGGCCAAGAAACTTTCCAGCTATTATGGTATTCAACTGCAGCTACTTGTACTGTCACTTAAAATTCTAAATAATAATAATAATGATAATAATAATAACAATAGTTATTAAGTAATAAAATTGATGAGCTATTTATTAATCATTGCTTTTGTGTCACTCCATTCACAAACGTTAATCCACAGCTGCTCCATATAACGGACTATATGTACCAGCTGGTGAGTAGTGATGTTGAATTGATGCATTTAATAAGATATGATATCCTTTCTCTCTGGATGTGTGATAAATTATTTGTTTGTGCTTCTCATTTCAACAGGAACAACCTGAGCTCGAGTGTCCAGATTTTCTGTTCAATTTGACTGTACCGAGTTTTAAATCGACATTTAATTTATCTAATGGTATAGTATCAGCTAGAGAGAGAGGGAGAGAAATTAAATACATGTTTACATAAAGTATTACTGCATGTACATGTATTGTATTCTAACCTATTCTAGAGAATAGGTCCTTTACATTGGTGTCATCTTTGGCACTGCACTCCATGAATATGGCATTCACTGATTTAGCATATTCTTCACCTTTTGCGGAAGCAGTAACCTAATGAAGAAATACATGTACATTATGTATACAAATTCACTCTTAGTCTCTATTATTCACTATAATTATGAAAGAAATTTTCAATTAATTACTGGGTATTTCTTGTATGAAAAAGTTCATAAAGAATGTAGTAGATCTATATCATGTAATGAATAATTAATAAATGCACTAAAACTATCTATCATTTACTTTATCTCTTAAATAATGTGATGTCATATTTCTCCATTTTCACTGGTGCATTTCATGATCTTTGCAGTTTGTGTAAAATTTCTGTAACAATAATAGGAATTCTTTTCACTGTTTAGTTTATATACCTCCAATCAAAACTGCTGGGTAATCCTACACTACAGAATCACAAATGAAATAATTCGTTTCCTGCAAGCAGCTAAACTGACCCATTAGCAATAAATTCTGTTATACTGTATAAATGGTAATACTGGCAATAAATTTGACAAATTGCTAAGTAATTGGTGGGTTTTAATTTGGCTGGTATTTTCAAGTCATGGCAATAATGGTACAAAATGATATGTTTTAAGCAGGCCTAATTTGTCAAAATTAATCCACTCCAAATTTACCAGCTATACAGTATAATAATAATAATAATAATAATAATAACAACTTTACAAAGACAAAGTTAACAAATAAAAAGCAAAAGTTGGTGATGGTGTCTCTGAAGGACTCAATGACCGAATCAGAGAGCCTAAGATTAAATTAAATTACACTACATTAAAAATTAAATTTAAATTTAAAACAGAACCTAATATTAAAATGAGGAAAAATTAAGAGTTTTGGGGGAGTGGGAACATTTATCACATGGACATAATAAGTGATAGGTGCATGGGTGGTCAACATTATAAGAGTTGAGAAAATGATTCCATAGAAACTTTTTCACCTTCATACAGTTTGTAGTGGGAGAGAGACTTAAATAAGCACAAGGGATATGTACACATGCATAGTATTATTTACTCTTGTTATTATGGATGCGGCGGAAGATGGCCACTCAGTGATGTCAATAAATTTGATAAAAAATTGAGAATAAAAATTGCATAAATTAAGGAGTAAAATAATAATAAACAGAATACAATAAAAAGAATATTTGCCCCTGACCCTTGCAAGCCAGTTCTGCATCTCATGAGCTGAGCTTGCCTCACATGACAAGACTTACCGTGGAGTATTTATGACCCGGCCCGTCGTATCTCGGGACTGACTACTCGGCAAGGAACACAGACAAGAAAAGAAGAGATGGGCGCTCAAAATGACACACAGAGACAGGAGGAAAGTCTAGAAGAAAGAGAGAGGCGAGTCAGGGCTGAAAGGGACAGATATCTAGCAGATGCGAAAGAGAGACGAGAAGCTAGGGCCACTGAGTAGACAAGCGGCAGCGCGGAAACAGCAGGAGGAAAAAGAAAGACTCAAACGGGAAAAGGAGCATGAAGAGAGAAAACTGCAGCTCAAATTGCGAAGAGAAGCTGAACAAAAAGAAGAAGAAAGGAAGCATGAAAGGCTCAAAATGGAAAGTGAAGCAAAAGAAAAAGAAGAAAAAAGGAAGCATGAAGAAAAAGAAAAGGAAAAAGATAGCTAGGGAGCTTGAAAGGCTCAAAATTGAAGAAGAAGAAAAGAAAAGGGAGCATGAAGAAAAAGAAAAGAAAAAAGATAGGGAGCTTGAAAGGCTCAAAATTGAAAGTGAAGAAAAAGAAAAGGAAAAAGATAGGGAGCTTGAAAGGCTCAAAATTGAAGAAGAAGAAAAGAAAAGGGAGCATGAAGAAAAAGAAAAGGAAAAAGATAGGAAGCTTGAAAGGCTCAAGATTGAAAGTGAAGAGAAAATTGCCATTGAGAAAAGCAAAGCAGAAATTGCCATTGAGAAAAGTAAAGCCTTGGCAGAAATTGCTCAGGCTGAAGCTGCAAAAGCTAAAGCAGAAGCCCCTGTCAACACGAGGAAAGAGATGAATAAAACACTCGACAAAATTAACAAGACAAAATATCCACAGGCTACAATAGCTGTGATCAAAAATTACCAAGGTGGCATAGCCACTTCACGCTAACAGGAGAATACTTGGGAAAATGACATTCCACTGAATTCTGGTGCATTTTCTGTAAGTACTGATGCTACAGAAAATGCACCTGACGATTCCTTTCTTATCAGTGAAGCACCAAAAGAATATGCTAAACTACAGAGGAAAGTAGATGCCATCAAGTCAATATAACTAATACCCTCTATTTTTGTCTGACAGAGGCTGAGATTAAATTCTCTCTTGTGTGAATTTTTGCTCATATAGACTAATTTTCTATTTTTAAATGTATAGTGTTATTTACTTTAATTTGTGTTAGTAGACTAGTAGTTATTTTTGTGAAAATTAAGTACATTTTAATAAAATTTTATACTAATATTCTATAATGAATAGCCAATAAACTAAGACAAAAATTTAAACAGTAGGGCAAACATAACTGCATGTAGCTAAATAAAGAACTTGATTGTGTTAAATTGCTAAAGAATTACTTGGGGTCTTTACATTGGTGTCATCTTTGGCACTACACTCCATGAATATTGCATTCACTGATTTAGCATATTCTTCACCTTTTGAAGCAGTGAAATAATGGTGTAATCTATTCTTAATCCATAGGCATTACCTCTTTTATTTGAAAAATGCCGATAAATTGGTCGGAATCAGCTCAAATTCTCTACACAGCTTAAGGGCATCAATATGTATCAAAAATGTAATAAAAATTTTGGGTGATTTCGGAGCCATTTTTTAGAGAAAACATGGGCTATAGCCTTGGGTATTTTTTCAAAAATTAGCTATTTTAAAAATGGCTGTAACTTGAAAAATTAAAGTCAGATTCAGCTCAAACTCTCTACACAGCTTAAGGACATCAATATGCATCAAAAAAATTAATAAAAGTTTTAGGTGATTTCAGAGCCATTTTTATATAGCCTTGGGTAAATTTTGAAAATTGGCCATTTCAAAAAAAACTTTAAAAACAACATCTGAGAACATCACCATATTCTCACCTAAAAACAACAACAACAACAATTATAATGAATTTTTTTACAATTACCTCTATGTTACAAGTTTTTATTGCATGTACGTTTATTTATCACAAAAATGATATTATGACAAAATGAAAGTTTCTCAAATTGCAGTCGAAATGCTCTGTACATTTTAAATGCAACATATTCATATTCAGTAATGAATTACAAACAACACTTAACTATGCATTAACATACCGTATAGAGGGAAATTTTGGAGGGATTTAAATTTGGCGAATTGCTATATTTGGTGATTGGCAAATTTTAATTTGGCAAATTAGTGGCCACGTGCCATTGAGCATGCATTAAATGGCTCAAATGGCCAATTCTATTTGGGCGAATGGCTATAAATTGCCAAATTCACCCAATTTAATTCTCTCCAAAATGTCCCACTATATGGTATATTATAACACCAAATAATCAATAGTACATTAAGATTGATGATGATACAGTTTTTATTCAAAATAGCTGTGATTTTAGGATTTTCTGCCAGAACCATTTTGATATTAGTTAACGTTATAATAGTTAATTAATCTTAAAAAAAATTCAAATCTAAAAAATGTAAAAATTCATTTTTAACATGATAACATCACAAATTTTATTGTTATTTATTTGCCTCAGAGGTGAAGTATTTTAATAAAATTTCCATGATGGCGCTGCCAGTTTTTGCCTCATCATTGCTAGTACATTCCTTATCATGCTCAGTCACGTCATAATACCACAATAGTTGTGTTTCATCTAATTGATGAGGCAGTAATGAAGACACCTGTAATGAAGCATTATGCATACATTCACGGATTATATTTTTACCTCTTCTTTCTTAAACTTGTAAGGTTTGGGCATGATACCAGGATTCTCTTTATAGTAAAAGTAATGTGACATAATTGGGTCTTCCCCTCTCTTCCCAAAATTAAAAATAGCTTCCTTGAATACAAACTAATATGCTTTTTATAAATATAATTAATTACTTTTGATTTTAAGTAGCTCTCATTTATTTCTAGCCCCTTATCACGGACAAAATCACAAGCTAGTTTCTTATGATCATTTGACTCATTTCCTGTACGACCTACAAACTTTGGTAGTTGCCTTTCAGTAATTCTAGCAAAAATTTTTTTAGCATCAAAAAGCTCAGTAGCTGGTGCATTTGGTGGAGGCAATGGAGGAGACTGTGCAAAAATATAAATGAAATAATCACAAATGATAGTGTAGGAATTAACATACCAATTTTTCGTCACTTAATTGGAGTATATAGTCCTCAATTGTGTCGTTTAAAGTGAGAAATGCATCAACATTCTTCCAGCATTCAAGCAAAGGGTAGCCATTAACACGAATGACATGATTAGCCTTCCTTAAAGCTTCCTTCATTCTACATAGTAAAATCATTGCTGGTTTGAACAATAATAATTTATTAAACTTACAAATCTTCCACTATAATAACAGTCTTGTGCCTGTATACAGAACGGTAAAGCAAAGTCCTTGTATGAAACATTTCATAAAGAGATGGAGCATCCTATAAAATTATAAAAAAAAAATCAATCATTAATATTTATACTTTATCTCTTGAACAAATGTGACGAAATTCTTCATTTCTTTCATCTTTGACGCAAATAATTTTTGCTGTTTGTGTAAAGCGTCTGATATAAGTCAAACAGTGCATTATTGTGACAATGCATATTTTAAATTCAGCCATACCTCCAATCAAAACTGTTAGGTAGTCCCACACTACGAGCATCCTGAGCAAAATAATCCATTTTATCAACATCAATACCAGTGAATCCATTAGCAACAATCTAAAAGCCATTAACATCATAAAGATTAAGAAATGGCAATCACTTGATGTAATAATTTTACTAACTTCAAAAAGATAACTTTTTTGTCGATATATTTTTTTGGAGTACAGTCACTACAAGGTACTTGCTTTTGCCAAAATTTTACCATAGTTTCTTCATGATCATTGTTCATATCCAGCTATATTAAATAGAGCAGGATTGTTATAAGACTCACACAGAAACCAGAATATAAGATGTACCTCAGAGAATGTAATCATGTCCTGAATAAGTTGAATATAGGAGTCCTTTTCTTTTCCAGTTCTTTGAATTCGAGTTTACTCATTATATGTTTGACAATTAGAGCTGATCTATATTCGTGTTTTGCTTTCTATTCAATAATATGTACATTATATTTATTATCAAAAAATTACTTTTGGTAATGTTTTCTTCCCTAAATTTTGTTCGTTCTCATGGTAAACATCATCATCTTCATTTAAAGTTATAAACTTTATTTTTTCTTGGTCTGCCTTTAATCCTTCGTAGTATTCTTTGACAGCGAAATCATAAACATGAGAGAAAGGTCCATGCCCTAAGTATAAAAGGAATCTAAACAAGACAATGTGTTGATACATACCAATGTCATGACATAATGCAGCAATCTGTACACACATCTTCTCTTGTGGTGTGAACCATTCAGATAGCTTTTCTTCTTTAGGAGGACAGTGCTTGTTCAGTGCCTCGACCAGTTGACCAGCAATATAGCAAACACTGCATGCAATTAGAAAGTACAAAATAATATGTATTGTGTATTACCCAATAGAATGCTCAAATCTTGTGTGGACTCCACCAGAATACACATAATATACTCCACCTAAAATTTTAGTATCAGTCGTACATAGTTTAGACTCACCAAATTGCTTGATCTTCCTCAGTCTCTGGAATTCTGGTCTATCAATAATCTTAAACAAATATTTATCAAGTTGTATGGATCCATGGACAGGATCCATTATTGTAACAAACTCCTGTGGTGGATCTAACTCTGGTTCAGACCGTACTGGTGGTCCAGTAGCCATCCTTTCTTCTCTTGGCACAAGAAGCTACTGCACAAGCTGACTGGATACATTTGCCCTATCACAACAGTGAATCCTTATATGGAGCTGTTTGAATTTCAAATTCACATGATAGGTCAAGGCTTTTGAGATCTATACGTTATAGTAGTCATAACAGAGTATTATGAAGCTTAGACTACTCTTTTATTACTATAACTTTAAAAACTTGCAGCCATTCAAATATTCCGGCATTGGCTTTCTTTGTTCCTATAGCTATAATCAAGAGTACATGATGCTATAATGAAATATGAACGTTATTATAGTACCTTTATTGTTATTATTTTACCTTTCAATATTATATCTCTTGAAAATGATGTCCAAATCTTCAGCATGTACCAACTATGACATAGCTTTATATCTTCCTTCCAAAAAACTTTTAAATTGAAATTTTGTTGTAAGCCCCAAAATTAGTGAATTTTTTCTTAATATGTTTTCTGGGCATTTTAAATTTTAGCTTTCATGTTGCAGGCTCACAAAAATGAATGTTTCACCCGGGAATAGATCTATTAAAGTCTGAGTCATGGGAGAGCCCAATGCTGACTACTTAAAATTAATGCTGACACTAAATCATAGCACCGTCTAAAGCTGAATGTAACTTATCACAACAGCGGTCAGAATCAATCGAAGTCAGTAAAGAAAGACAGCCGCAAGGTATGGGGAATAATAACACACAGGCACAAGAAAGGCAAGAGGCAGAGGGAAGGCAACAGGCCGAAGAACGAGCAAGGCGAGCAGAAGAGGCAAGGCGGCAAGAGGCAGAAGAAGGAAGGAGAAAGGCAGAAGAGGCAAGGCGGCAAGAGGCAGAAGAAGGAAGGAGAAAGGCAGAAGAAGGAGTGAGGCGACTACTAGCAGAGGCAAAAGCCCGGGCTGAAAACCAACAGCGGAAGCTGGAGTTGGATAGTGAAGAGAGACAACAGAAGCTCAGATTGCAAAGCGAAGCAGATGAAAAGGAAAAGGATAGGAAGCTTGAAAGGCTCAAGATTGAAACTGAAGAAAACCAAAGAAAAAGGGAGCATGAAGAAAAAAGGCTCACAATTGAAAATGAAGAAAATGAAAAGAAAAGGGAGCACGAGAGGCTGAAATATGTAAGTGAAGCAAAAGAAAGGGAAAAAGATAGGGAGCTTGAAAGGTTTAAGATTCAAAGTCAAGAGAGAGTTGCCATTGAGAAATGTAGATCCAAAGAAAAAGTTGCTAAGGAAGAAGCTGCAAAAGCGAAGGAAGAAGCTGCAAAAGCTAAGGAAGAAGCTAACGCAAAGAAAGAGGTGAATAAAACGCTTGATAAATTAAACACCGCAAAAAATCCACGGGCAGCATTGATGGTGATTGGTGGAAGAACCCGGTGTGATGATGGCTATAATCCTGCAGAAGCCTCTCGTCGTGGGGTGAATATTCCACAAGAAGACAACAGTCTGAGTTCTCAGTCTTCTCTGAGTTCTCAGAATTCTGATGGCATTGTAAGTACTAATGCTAGAGAAAATGCACCTGACGATCCATTCTTATACAATGAAGCACAAAATGAAAGGTGGACTAGGGTACATAAGAGGAAAGTAAAAACTGCTATATAGTTAAGAACCTGCTATTTGCCTACCGGCCAAAAGAACTTTATATTATACTTTTGTGACTTTGTTGTGCCCTCAATTTGTTTAAACTGTTTTTTGTAGTGTATATGTACCTATACCTTTGATGTTGTAGTTGTAACAAGGGAAGTATATAGTTGTATAATGTTTATTTTCATTAATTATTTTTGTCACAAATGAATCTCCTTAAATTGCAAAAGCAGGCTTGTACATAAAAGGTAGACCATATAGTTTGCTATTGGAACCATGCAATAATAAAATTATTGTTCTAAATAATAATAATAATAAGTATAGGTTATACACCGAGGTAGAGGTTTCTATGGTATTTATTAACCGAGAGACGCAGTCGCGAGGTTAATAAATACCATAGAAACCGATACCGAGGTGTATAACCAACTTCTACCATGACACTTGAAAAACAACTACCAGCTGCTGATAATAAGACCACAGTTGACATACATACAACATATCTAACAGGCTAGGCCTGTAAAGAATCAACCAAACTTGACAAATGGACTAATAAGAGCATAAGCGTAGAGCACCAAACTGCCAATCAATTAATTATTTAATGAGATAGGTTTATATTTTTACGAGCTAGGTTAATATGAAAAATAATTGACCTCCAATACTGCAATCTGATTGGTCAATCACAAGGTGGCATGGTAGAACAATAGTTATTAAGTAATAAAATTGATGAGCTATTAATTATAATCATTGCTTTCGTGTCACTCCATACACAAACGTTAATCCACAGCTGCTCCATATAACGGACTATATGTACCAGCTGGTGAGTAGTGATGTTGAATTGATGCATTTAATAAGATATGATATCCTTTCTCTCTGGATGTGTGATAAATTATTCGTGTGTGCTTCTCATTTTAACAGGAACAACCTGAGCTTGAGTGTCCAGATTTTCTGTTTAATTTGACCGTACCGAGTTTTAAATCGACATTTAGTTTATCTAATGGTATAGTATCAGCTAGAGAGAGAGGGAAAGAGAGAGAGATTAAATACATGTTTAAATTACTACATGTACATGTACTCTAACCTATTCTAGAGAATAGGTCCTTTACATTGGTGTCATCTTTGGCACTGCACTCCATGAATATGGCATTCACTGATTTAGCATATTCTTCACCTTTTGAAGCAGTAACCTAATGAAGTGAATATATGTACATTACACTAGGTATGCAAATTCACTCCTAGTCTCTATTATTCACTATATTATGGTGGCAAGTTTTCAAAGTGTAATTTAGTGTACATGACTGATCATTTACACATGTACATGTACATGAATTTGCATATGCATATTATGCTGGTGTTGCATGATATTCTTATGTCAATATACATCAGAAAATATAATAAAAATTTGTGGTGATTTTGGAGCCATCTTTCAAAAAAACCATGGGCTATAATAGCCTTGGGTATTTTTCAGAATTTTGACATTTTCTTAAAATGGCCATAACTTGAAAAATTGAAGTCGGAATCAGCTCAAACTTTCTACGCAGCATAATGACATCAATATGTATCAGAAAATGTAATAAAAATTTGTGATTTCAAAGCTATTTTTTGGAAAAAACCATGGGCTATAGCCTTGGGTATTTTTCAGAATTTGGACATTTTCTTAAAAATGGCCATAACTTGAAAAATTGAAGTCGGAATTAGCCCAAACTTTCTACACAGCACTAGGACATCAATCAATATGTATCAGAAAACGTAATAAAAATTTGTGGTGATTTTGGAGCCATTTTTTGGAAAAAACCATGGGCTATAGCCTTGGGTATTTTTTAGAATTTTGACGTTTTCTTAAAATGGCCATAACTTTAAAAATTGAAGTTGGAATCAGCTCAAACTTTCTACACAGCATAAGAACATCAATATGTATCAGAAAATGTAGTAAAAATTTGTGGTGATTTCAGAGTCATTTTTTGGAAAAAACCATGGGCTAAAAAATACCCAAAGCTAGAGCCTTTGGGTATTTTTTAGAATTTTGACGTTTTCTTAAAATGGCCATAACTTTAAAAATTCAAGTCGGAATCACCTCAAACTTTCTACAAAGCATAAGGACATCAATATGTATCAGAAAATGTAATAAAAATTTGCGGTGATTTTGGAGCCATTTTTCAAAAAAACCATGGGCTATAATAGCCTTGGGTATTTTTCAGAATTTTGGCATCTTCTTAAAAATGGCCATAACTTAAAAAATTAAAGTCGGAATCAGCTCAAACTTTCTACACAGCATAAGGACATCAATATGTATCAGAAAATGTAATAAAAATTTGTGGTGATTTCAAGCGATTTTTTGGAAAAACCATGGGCTATAGCCTTGGGTATTTTCCGAAAATCGCCCATTTTTAAAAATGGCCATAACTTGAAAAATTGAAGTCAGAATCAGCTCAAACTTCTACACAGCATAAGGACATCAATGGGCCATTTTCTAAGTGATTCTTCAAAGTTACATGTAAACAGCTCCTAGTCTTTATTGTGTCTGGGGCTCTAACCTGTCTTGATTCTGATATGTCTAGTTTATTGCCAGCAATAGCCAGCACAAGGTTTGGTGGTCCTAACTGTCTCAGCTCCTGAATCCAGCTCTGCATCTCAATGAAACTCTTCTACAAATAATAATAATAATAAATTTATTATTATTATTAATTTATTATCGTTATAAGAATGTATATATAGTGTAAAAGCTCAAAGCTATTTCGATGATGAAACTTAAAACTTTCACAGAGATACATGTATATGTGACTGAAATGTACTACATGTACATGTATATGTACATGTACATGCACATGCATGTAAAGTATATTATATTAATTACCAGGTTAGTAATGTCATAGACTACAACTGCAGCAGCTGAACCTCTGTAATACATTGGAGCCAATCCACGATACTATACAGGAAGAGGAATGTAGTATGGGAATATAATACTAATTTAATACATGTGTGTATATAAATCTTAAGGGAATTAATGGGCTATAGTCCAAAAAATTGCTGCTATCTCAAAAACTTTTAGTCAAAATCAACTCAAACTTTCTATGCAACATAAGGACATCAATATGCATCAGAAAATGTAATAAAAATTTGGGGAGAATTCGGAGCCATTTTTTTCTAATAAGCATGGGCTATTATAGTACAGGGTATTTTTTTAAAATGGCTGTTTCAAAAAAAACAAATATAACCCAAAATTCTAATTAAAAATTACTTATAATTATATGTACATGTATCACACAATAGTGATGTTTTCTATTTAGTGAATGAAAGTTTATGATACCTTTTCCTGTCCTGCTGTGTCCCATATCTGGAACAATATGGAGTGATCATTAACTTGAATGGTCTTTGTTGAAAATGCAGCACTAGATAATGATAACAGGAGAGACATGAGTCCAGCAATAATAAATAATAATAAATAACAATAATAACAATAATAATAATGTTTACATGCATTTAAATGTAGGTTTTAATTAATAATACGTACTATAATAATAAGCTAGAATTAATAATAACAATAATAATAATAATAATAATAATGATAATAATGAATATAATAACAAGGAAACAGGTATAAGGTTGTCTTCACATGATAAAGACTTTGTGAGTTTGTCTAAATACCCTGAACTATGTGTACATGTACATGTACAAAATAAATATTGACAGGAACAAAGAAACTATAACTTCTGCTTTGCTAATAAGATCTCCCTTTCCCTCTCTCTCTCCCTCCCTCTCTCTGTCTCTCCCTCCCTCCCTCTCTCTCTCCTTCCATCCCTCCCTCCTTCTCTTTCTCTCTCTCCCTCCCTCCCTCCCTCCCTCCCTCCCTCCCCCTCTCTCTCTCTCCCTCCCCCTCTCCCCCTTCTCACTCTCCGATACATATATGTACAGGATGTACTCCAACACTTTTTCTTATCAACCTAAAACAACACTCATTGTATACAAACACACCTGATCCAATTATGAACCAAACCACAAAAACATTTGCCCAGGAATGCTAAGATTGAAAGATGATAAATCATCGTGTAACTTAAATGAAATATTTTATAATTAACGCAATACAATTCTATTTATACCTTGAACACATAATAGCACTTCAGCAAGCTAGAGCTGACTAAAAGTACTAAAAAGTATATACCAAGATATTATTAATTATTCTTTAACAGTTATACATGTACAATATACTAAGTTCTTAAGCCAATACTACTGGAGTAAATGTAGAGTTCATTACAATGACTATAGATGTATGACTAATTGACTATATAGTACACACTACACTAGTAGAGTAGATCTAGTGTACTAGTAGATCTTGCATGCATAATACGTGTACTTGGGGTCACTTCAATCAATAACTGTAAGTGGATTAAAATTCAACTATTTAACACTTGAATTCTCTTGACTTCTCTCCTTGTGATACAATAATGTGTTACTTATTATATAATTGCATTATTATATTTACTGTGTTCTTTTATAATTGTTTCGCTTACCCAACAGTCAACGGCTCCTTGTCTGAAAACACGTCAGAGACAAACCGGTTTACAATACAGGTCTTACCAACTCCTGACTCCTGAAAAGAAAAAAGAGAGAGAGAGAGAGGAAGAGAGGGGGGAGGGAGGGAGGGTAAAGGGTCATAAAAATGAGGTAACAATGAGAGATAGAGAGAGACTGACCCCTAATAAGCAAAGTTTGACCTCATGGAGGGCCATGAACCCATCAATGAGAGACGAGAGTTAGTAAAGGAAGGATACAACAAGAACTGGTGAAGGAGAAGGTTTTCGTGTGAAAATCTTGTACGGACTACGGAGTTAAAAACTTAAAATAAAAATTAAATCATTAGAGTTTGTTAGTTAACTATTATTTAAAGTTATAAATAAAGGTGCGGTCTATAAATAGGCGTGGTTTGTTGGATCACGTGATTCTCTCGTTACCATAGTAACGATTCTTTCTATCAATCTTTTCCAAATCCGCTAGTACTGTGAAAGGCAATGGCGGAGCCCGTTGAGACGGCAACAGCAAAAGAAGAAGAGAATAAAGAACAAGATATTCAAGCGACAGAAGAAGAGAAACCAGCGGTAAAAGATACATGTACTTGTAGTGTTTCAAGTGATAATGAGCCACACCCTTTTACTGTTTGACACATGTACAGGATAGTGAGACTGTTCCTGCTGGTGCTGACGAACAGAGAGAGAATGAAGAACAGCTCCCTATAGAAGAGGTTGGAGGAGACACTACTGGGAAGAATGATGAAGGTATAGTGACAAAAATTAAGCTGCCAATTTTATTGTACTATAGTATCAGAATACCTAATTTTATGGAGCTTAATTCACGTTTTTAAAAGCATGAAATTATGACTAAAAGCTTATTTGCAATAAGAGGTTTCTTCTTTTAAATGATGCTTTTGTTTCATATATTTACATGTACAGTACATGTAATTGTGCTGATACGAAAATTAATACAATTGTGATAATGATAATTATTCCTTGATGATCATTATATTTATAATTGATGTTTGCACATCTTTAGCTGAAGGAGAGATAAAAGAAGAAAAGGAGAAAGAGACAGAGCAGCAACAGCAGCAACCATTAGAGCAGCAGCCATTAGAGGATCCTGTACCCCAACCAGTGGCAGCCATTACTGGTCCAGCTGAAGGAGGAGAAGGAGATAAAGAACAAAAAGAAGAACTGGTGACTGATACTGCTGGCACTACCACCACTAGTGGAGAGGAGACCACTGGAGCTAATGAAGATAAAGGTAAGGAATAAAGTACATGTATATACATGTACTATATAGTGCAAAATTTGTGAGGGTTTTTAAATTTTGTGGATTTCCCAATTTTTTAAAGATTTGCAAAAAATACTTCCATGAAAATCAAATTATTACGGTAAAAGATGGCAGACGGCATAAATTTGGGAAAATTAAATCTGCAAAATAGATTTTTAGGCATATCAGCGGAATTTACAACCCTCAAAAATTTTGCCCAATACAGTATTAAATTATTATTAATTCTCTCTCTCTCTCTCCCCTTTCATTAGAGTCCAGTACTATACAACAAGATGCAGCAGGTTCAAGACATGACTCAAGCCACTCGTCCCATAGCAATAGACCAGTGGAAGGTGACAGACACTCCCTCTCCTCACAGAAAAGGAAAGAGAAGAGGAGCAAGAGAAAGAAATCAACAGCAGTCCCTAAACTAAAGCGTCGCTCCTCTTCAAAGTTTGGTAGCGTTGCTGAACAATATGTACAAGAGATAGTGTATCCTTACTTCACCAGCCAAGACCCTCTACAGACTGGACTACTACCACTGGATACTGTATTACAGGTACATGGACATTATGCATATAATACTGTACTTGTACTACTTTATAATGGACACATTGCATTTGGTATTGCATTACAATTGCATTCGAGAGATACCATATAGTGGGTAATTTTTTTAGGAGTAAAAGTTTGTCCAATTGGTAAAATTTTGATGATTGGTGGGTTTTAATTTGGTGAATTTTGTGAGCCATGTGCCATTGAGTATGTACATATTATAATGGTTCAAAATGGCTGGTTTTAATTTTGCAAAATGGTTATCAAATTGCCAAATTAACCAAAATTTGTCCCCTCCAAAATTACTCACTATATGGTATAAGTATACATGTACATGTTAAATTATTTATTGCTATTATTATTGTTGTTATTATTATTATTATTTTGTTATTATTATTTATTATTATTATTAGGTGTTTTATATTCCTGAGCTTGGCCTCCAGTTACCAGAGGATGATCTTCCATTGCTACAGTCAGTGATTGATACTAATGAGCAGCAGTTGGTTGACTACACTACACTGGCTACTAACACTCACAGGATCATATCATACCTGTACAGCAACAAACCTGATAGTAAAGTAAGTACAGTAATATACATGTAGCTAGTGATTAGAATTATATCATTTATTTAATGCAAAACTTTGTATTAGGAACTTTGTGAAATAGCAAACTACATATATAATATTGGTAACAATTTAGTCCCTCAAAATAACTTTGATATACATGTACATGTAAACCAATTTTGCATGTTATTCACATCTATACTGTACATGTACTCATCTTTCCTCAGGCTAATTGGGTTGAATTGGAAGGTCTGGATGGAACTAAAGTCGTATATAATAAGAAAACTGGTGAAGTAATGTAAGTGAATCAAAATGAAAATTATTCTCTTTTTATTGCTACGTGTACTGCACGTACATGTACATGTACATGTGTGTGTCCTCTTATTCCTCCCTCTCTCTCTCCCTCCTCTTCTAGTGATCATGCTGAAGATGGTATGGATCTGTTTGAGGAGGTCATTCGTGATTTATTTAAATCAGCAGACACTGAGGGAAAAGGCGTCATAACTAAAGAATCATTTATTGAAGTAAAATAATAATAATAATAATAATAATAATAATAATAATAATAACAACAACATTGTCACGGATTTTGTGACAATGGAACTAATGGGTTTTTGCTTGTCACGAATTTTGTGACAATGGAACTAATGGGTTTTTTGCTTGTCACAGATTTTGTGACAATGGAACTAATGGGTTTTTTGCTTGTCACAGATTTTGTGACAATGGAACTAATAGGTTTTACTTATCATCATTATTATTATTATTATTATTATTATTATTAGATATTAAAGAGCAGGTCTGATATCGATGATGTCCAGATTACTAGTATCAGTTCTCTATTGGACAGTGTCTCCAGTAGTGAAATGAATTATGAACAATTCAAACCAATAGGGAAGGAAACCATACTCAAGATATATCAGAAAACAGATCAATCACAGGTATGAATAATACATGCTTTAGTAACATGTACATGTACATTAACTGCCGTATAGTGAGAAATTTTGGAGGGAGTTAAATTTGGCGAATTGCTAAATTTTGGTGATTGGCGAATTTTAATTTGGCAAATTTGTGGCCACGTGCCATTGAGCATGTGTATAATGGCTCAAAATGGCAGATTTTATTTTGGCGAATCGCTATTAAAGTACCATATTTGCCAAATTTAATCCTCTCCAGAATTTCCCGCTATACTGTACAACATATGTACATGTACAGTGTATATAATGGTGTTTCTCTTTATTATTCCAGTCTGAGTGGTTGTATCTGAGTACTCCTAAAGTTGGTGGCTTTTATTTGAACAAGTTAACAGGAGAGACCAGGAGGAACATAGGACTGCCTGAAGGAAGGTGGGTCTACATGTACATGTAGCTTATATACATGTACATGTATAACTACATGTATTGTAGTGTAATTTGCATATACAATTTTACATGTACTTTTTGCTTGTACTTGTATGTGAATACAGTTCTTGCAAAATGCAAATTTACCCAAAAATCATATCTCACTATAATTTTAAATACATGTACATGTACATGTATATGTACGTCAGTAAACTATAGCCCCTTAATGTTTTACATTCTTTTAGTCATTATTATTATTATTATTATTATTATTATTCCTACAGTGAGCAAGAGGCTGTTATCATAGAAGGTGCTTATTCTCAGATCACTAACCTAACTCTGGAGCTGGAGCTGGAGAGAGCAAAGAACAGAGAACTAGAGAATCAGATAGCTCAGTTTAATGAGAACCTTGAAGAGACTGTGACACAACTTGATGAGACTGGGAGACAACTGGATATTGCTACTGCTGATGTAAGAGGAGGGAGAGAGAGAGGGGGGGAGGGAGAGAGAGGGGGGAGGGAGAGAGGAAGAGGGAGGGAGGGAGAGATAGAGGGAGAGAGAGGGAGGGAGAAAGATACATGTCTTTTAGAATAAAATAAATTACCTGTATATGTATATGTACATGTATATGTACACATGTACATGTACATGTATATGTACATGTGCCTGGCTGATGTAGAGGGAAGTAGAAGATACACTGTACAGTACATGTTCTTTAAAAGAAATAAAAGAATGATGCTTATGTATGTATGCTTGTGTATGTACATGTACATGTACATGTACTTGCCTATTTTTAATTTAATTTTCATCTATTTATATTACATGTACATTTATCCCTTTAGTTGCAAGCTAAAGATGATGAGATATTTCAGCTGCACAGACTAATACAAGAGAAGGACCAGACACTACTGGAGATGACCAGCAAAGGTAATGAGAGAGAGAGAGAGGAGAATAGGATAATTAAATTTTTGAGTAACTTTTAAAATTCATAGAAAATCTAATTCTCATCGGAATCAGCTCAAACTTGCTACATAACATGAGAACATGTATATGTATCAGAAAAAATTATAAAAATGAAGTATTCTCTCCTAGTCATTTTTGGCGAAATTTGGCCAATGACCCTGTACTGTAGTACAGGGACTTTTGCCCGATTTTAAAGTAACTTTCAAAATTTGTAAAAAATCTAATTTTGATCGGAATGAGCTCAAACTTGCTATGCGATGTAAAAATATCTTTATTTATTAGGAAAATTTATAAAAATTGAAATTTTTTTGCTTTTCGTTTTTGAAGAAATTTGGCACACGACCCTTACTATAGTATAGAGACTTGGGCCCGATTTTCAAGCAACTTTAAATTTAATTAATAATGTTTACAATGTACATGTACGCATTACTGTACATGTAAAAGATAGTGAACATACATCTAGTATTACTTAATATATACATGTATTTTGTATTTTGATATACATGTACACAGGCTTGGGGCGAAGTACTTTAAAAAGTATTTAAGTACATTACAAGTACCTGTTAGATTTTTAAAATGAGTACGAGTACAAATCCCTCATTTTTACAATTGTATTCAGTATGAGTACGAGTACTCTATTGCAGTACTTAAGTACTACTTAAGCACTTGACCACACCCAAATAATTAATAAGTTAGTTTTAAAATTAATAAATTAAATCAGACAGTTATTACATCTTATGAACTTTTCAAATCCAAACTGACCAATGTCATAGTATGGGACCCACAGGAGGTAAATATATGTGGTTTACACTAGCTAGTATTTATTATATCAACACATTAGCATTGCATCGAAAAATGTACTTCAAAGTACTTGTAAGCACTAAAAACATACTAGTATTTAAGTACAGTACGAGTATTTGTAATTTTTGTTCAAAAGTACTTGAGTAAATACCGAGTACTTTCAAACTTGTGCTTAAGCATGCTTAAGTACGAGTACCAAAGTACTCGCCCCAAGCCTGTATGAAACACTTAATAATTCATCAAAAAAAAAAACTACACGCATTATTAAAAATTACCATTAAATCTTACAATTAATGCACATGTAAAGTACAATCTTTGTACCTTTATCATGGCCATTAGGTATAGGCATATCCAGTAATCCATCCTTAGCTACAGGGGGAGTATCAATACTGGCGGCAGTAGCAGCAGCTGGTAAAGGTCTATCAGATGTCATGGACATAAGCTCATCCAACTCCTCCTCTTCATGAACTGAGGGATCATCTTTATCACCTTCTTCTTCAGTTTGAGCTCTCTCTATAATGATAACCAATTAACATGTACATATTGTACATGCACATAGAAA